ATTTGTGTTCCTTTGTAAAACGTAAATGCTTATTTAAAACCCACCATGTTTTTCAGTGCCACAGTTGCTTTTCCTCATGCTCAGGCACTCGTCCCTCTCACTCATTCAAACAAAATATCCTAATTAATTTGAGAAATTGAGAGGCCTATTTATTATTTTTTCTTTTCTTTTCTCTTGTGTAATAATTATATAAGCTTGGGTCTTAAAGGAGTATGGGAATGAAAATTTCTGTGTAATTATGGTTTTTTTTTTCTTCTTCTTCTTCATCATTTTTAACTCCGACCACAAGTTAAAGGAATAAATTAAAGAGAAGAAAGAAAGAAAAGAAAAGAAAGGGTTTTGGTTTTTCTCTCTCTCTTTTGAATTTACTTTGTTGGGACCATGTGTTTTTTACCTCTTTTTCTCTACTTTTTTTTTTGTTTTTTTACCACAAACTTTTCCTTTACATCATATTCCTTTGGAACAAGAAAGTTTGACTTCACCCACTAACTAGGAGACTTTGTACTTGTTTTTTTTTTTCCTTTTTTTCTTTTTTTCCATATATGATATATATAAAATATATATGTTTTGCAGTTTAATCTAGATGGGGTAATTTCATCCTTAACTTATTTAGGGAGGTAAGTAATGCAAAGTAAGACTCCGTTTGATAATATTACCATTTCAGTTTCATTTGATAATTGTTCTTATTTCTCTTCTCTCATTTATAAGAAAACATTTCTAAAATTGTGTAGAATACTTTGAAAATAACAAAATTGGATTTCTTGTTTCTTGTTCTATTTCTTGTTCTTGTTTCCAAAATATAGATGAAAAATATTATTTTATCATTGTTTTACTAATAAAATGCATAATAAATATAACATACAAATTTTGAATATTTAATTTGAAAGGTTAATTTTGATATAAAATTTTTATTTTTAATTTAAAATTTTAGAGAACAAGACAGACATATTTTTGTTTCTATTTTCAATTAAAAAAATAAAGAACAAAAAATAAGAAACAGTTACTACACACAATTTTTTTTCCCTTATTGAAAAGGAGGAAACAAAAAATAAGAAACAAAGAATGTTACTAAATAGGCCCTATCGACCCGATGAGCTAATGCTCATATTATAAGGATATGATACAAATAAGTTAATAGGAAATGAACTAGATAAAGAAGGTAACAAGAGCACTTTTGTTATGGATGAGTTAAAATTAGTTATATTATATCTATATTAATAAAGTTGTTTGGCTGGCTACTATAATTCTACTGACTAAAAGTATGCTTTTACTTTCTCTTGCGTGGTTTAGTAAACACAAAATAATTAAGCTAAGAAAGAACCATGTKATTATTATGAAGCATAGGTTAATCAAAATATGCTAGAAAATCTTGAAATTGAACTACTTCAAACTTTTACGTTAACCTTTTTTTGCATAAAACATAATTAAAAACGTAAAATTGGTTTTTTTTAACAACATGTGGGAGAGAGAATTCGAACTCATGACCTTTTGATTTAGGTAGGTGTCCAAAGCTATGCTCCGATCGACAATAAAATTACTTTTTTAAATAATGGTTAGATAATTTTATAATTATTAGTAGAAATACTTAGTATTATCTTTACTATAAATATTGAATATAGTTTTCACTTCAAGACCAGAAGATAATTTTTTTAAAAATTACTACAAATTTTTTTCTCTTGTTTGGGGCTCAAGGTATCACCTACCTTGTGGTCTCAAGCTCGAAGTCTTGCGCAGTGTTGCTTAGTTCATAAGTCACACGATATCGATTCTGAAAAAAAAAACTATSAATTTTACTAATTTTCTTTCATTCTTAATTTTGAAGGGTTGAACTCTTTTTGGAAGCAGGATTTTTAATATTTTCTTTTTCTTTTATCAATCTTCTTTTGAGYAGTGATTAATAAGAAAATTGAAGAAAAAAAGGCCCTAAACTCTTGAAAAGTATATATATGGCCCTTCTACCTTTAATCATGAAGGCATTCATTGTTGGGCACAGTAGCTAGGGTTGAAATTTCCAACTCTAGGGCTAGAACTTTTCTAATTTAAATGGACATTTTTGCCCTTTTCAAGGCATGAAATAGAAGGGTATATAAAGAGAGAAATTGGGTATATAGAGTGAAAATAGAGAATGGTGTTGTTTTAAATATATAATTTACATAGTAAAAATGAGAGTTTTCATAATTTTACATAATATTAATTTTTTTAAGGCAATATATTTATTTACTAATAATTTCATTTTAAGGGTTTACCTTTTCAAAAACCATTTTGAAATCTTGGCCAATTTCTAAATACTAGAAATAGATTAATTTTTTTAAAAACTATTGTTGTTTTAGTTTATGAAATTTGTTTAGGGTTTCTAAAACATTTTCAAAATAAAACCATATTATAAATTATCCTTCATTAATATTCTTTGATGTTTCATATTAATCAAGAAAAGGATTTCTTTATACTTGATGTTTGTAATTATGGTATTTTAGAAATCAATTATTTTAAGGAAGTTTGATTGGATAGGAGGAAATTAAAATCTACAACCTCATCAATTTTCCATCCTTCTTTTGAGGCAAAACCAATGATGGCTAAAGCAATACATTAAATTTTTTCCTCTGCCCAAACTCAAAAAAATTAAATTCACACTCCTTTTCACCCTTAAATTAAATTTCATAAAAAATTATTACGTGTAACGCAATTTTTTTTTTTAATACCATATTAATATTCATGGGTTCCATCTCAAAACCAATTGACAATGTGATGATACATGTCTATTATAAACCATTGTTAGGTCCCTTTTTTTTYCAACGTGAGATCCTTAACATTTCTCCCTACACGAACTACCCTTTAATTTATTTCATTTTTTCTAAATAATAAATGTTCTCATATTTAGTAGTTTGTAAATGGTAGARATATTTTGTTGAAGTAAGCATTAACATTACTTGTTTAAAAGCACTAATTATGAGAAAGTGTGAGTGATTTATTATGAAGCAATTTTTTTTTAATAAAGTATTTGTAACTTTGATAGAAATTCTTATTCAAAAGCTCTTTCAAGTACAACCTTTAACTATTATAGAAATCATTTAGATGATAATTACAATTATAATCTTAGAACTTCGATTGGCTAATTTCTTTGGTTTAATAAAGTTAAGAAGTTAGCCTACTTTCTTCAAACATATTGATAGAATTTAAAAAGCATGTTATAATAAAGAAGTTTCTATATGTTTGATTAATGGTCTACGTTTTTACCAGCACATGGACATAAGAGTATGACCATGTTTGGAAAAGAAAAAAAAGTGCACACTAAATTCCATTCTTAAGAGAAATTAAAAAAAAAAGAGTGATTTTAAGAATGTCATCATGKATGTAGCTTAAATGTATAAGGAATACTTCTTAAAAAAAAAAAAAGCATAAGGAATAAATCTATTTATATGGGGGTGAATATACAATTTCATTTATGCTTTTGGTAGACTTAACTTATCATCGAAAATTTTGTTAGAAATTTATTTATACCCAATTTACTTTGATGAATAGCAAAGAAATGTTTACGCTATGTTTGAGCCGGAAATTGATGAGCTCGGATGCGACTTAGATCGGTACGTTCAGGACGAACTACCTCCAAYGGTCCCGCACCTTCCCTGAACACTCTTGAGACCTGCAAAACAAAGTTAGCACTCCGATGAGCAAGTTAGTTCTGGTCCGAGCTAACTTGTCGAGTCTACTCAG